GCTCCCCGCACAATGGCAGCCCACTGCTCCCCAGGGGGATGGGTTAAATGTGGAGAGTTCATTTCGTTGCTCTGTACTTGTGACAGTGTAATAACAAAAAAAGCTTGAAAAAAGACTTGAGTTTGACACCTATATTCATGTGAAATAGGCCACTGTTTACCACTGATAGAGATGTAGCATCAAAACATGAACATCTCTGTTGGATAATGTCTCCCCCTCCATGCATGAAGCTGGTGCTGAACTGGAGAGCTCCTTCAGTGACAGACTGCTGCGCCCTAAATGCACCAGGGAGCGTTATCACAGATCCTTCCTCCCAGCAGCTGGAAGACTCTAGAACCACCACTGTTCCCAACAACCTCAATAAGTCGTTACATTCATGCTGATTTTATAGTTTCTATCTTAGTCAGTTAAAAAACATGCTGCTATCATTTTTTGCACATCTCTGGTGTTACTGCTGTTTTAAAATATCCATTACTGTAAAAAATGTAAAATATTTATTCTCCAGATGCACAGTATTTATATTGTTAAAAAACTCTACAGTACAGTACCTTATATATATTTTTTTATTTAACTCTTCACTATTATTTTATGCACTCTTCTAAGGTCCACCATTTTCTATAATCTTTTTGCTGCTGTAACACCAGAATTTCCCCATTGTGGGACAATGAAGTGGTTTTCTATTCTATTAGATTTTTTTGCTCTTATTTTACACTTGACTTTGGATCTTTCCACTTTTTTTCACACCTCTGCTGGACATTACAAACTCAGTTCCACTGGATCCTTGTTAACTCATAAAAAAATACTAATTCCTCCGACCATGTGGTCTGATTATGGTTATTATTCTACCAGACAAAACAAAAATAAAATGTAAAACAGAAATAAAAAAATATAGTAGGCTAATGTTGTGCAATTATTTAGTTGGAAGACCTTTATATGCAACCCTTTCCAGCTACTGGTGTAGAAATTTTAAAAGCCAGAGTACATGACTAATAACAGATTGCTAAATTACAGTAGCAGCCATTCAAAATGGCTCTTTCCCTTCAAACGCCAGCCGAATGGCAGCCCACTTCCCTCCAACTCCCTACGATATCCCCTCCAACTTCCAGCCACTGGAGTGACCCCCTCTTGCATAGTTTTTTACTCTGACTCCACCCTTTCACTAAATTACAGGGTCTGACCAGGAGATGAAGATTCTCTTTAGATCTTAATGTCTACAAATCTTGACACAAAAAAATATTTTAGTACAAATATTGATGTTTAAAAAGGAGTTGTAGGGGACCAGCCAAGAGCTCATCAAGGAAAGTGGGGAAATTTTGAATGGCTACTACTGTATTTAACAGACTGAAACATAAACAAATATGACTTTCCCATTAGGTTATATGTTTTGTTTGTGCAGGTTCTGGCGACAGGTTGGAGGCCACCTGCGTTTAGTGGAGTGCAACAGCCTGGGGATAGTATGGGGCCTCGGCTATGACCACACTGCCTGGGTCTACACCGGGGGATATGGGGGAGGCTTCTTCCAGGGGTTGGCAAGCAGCACAGATAATGTTTACACACAGACTGACATCAAGAGTGTTTACATCTATGAGAACCAGAGGTGGAACCCAGTAACTGGCTACAGCAACAGGTGTTGTACACGGACATGTTTCAGGGTCATGCTTTAGCTCGTAATGGTTTCATATATCTAATGATAGTATGTCTTCTTGTTTTTTTTTTGTAATCCTTTTAGGGGACTTCCAACAGACCGCTACATGTGGAGTGATGCATCTGGGTTACATGAGTGCACAAAGACTGGTACAAAGCCTCCTTCCACTCATTGGACATGGGTAAGCTGAGCTCACAGACAGACGGGGCTCCTATAGCTCCGAAGTTTTAAGGCTAACCATATTTTTTTGTTCCATTTTGGTACTCTGTGAAAACTACAGTTGGGTATTCTTAGGTTTCTAGAAAATGTAAACTCCAGGTGCATTCAGTGTTTCACTTCTCTTTCCCGTGTCTAGGTGTCTGACTGGGTTATTGACTACAGCGTCTCTGGGGGAACAGACAAAGAGGGCTGGCAGTATGCTGCAGATTTTCCAGCGTAGGTTTTTTAAAAAAAAGCTATACTTATATCCTTTTTCTTCTGTCCTTTAACTCGTTCCATGTCTCCTGATAGGTCTTATCACGGCTCTAAAACCATGAAGGACTTTGTCCGGCGCAGGCGCTGGTCCAGGTATCTGTAGAAACTCCACACTGCTGTTGGGTACAGTTAGTTGTTAATGGGTATATTCTGTCCTGAAGGGTTCATTAAAACCAGAGATATTTTCATTTTATTTCAACATAAACTTTGCTAATCAATCACTATTTCTTGAATCCATAGGAAATGTAAATTAACAACAACCGGACCTTGGCAAGAAGTTCCACCAATCGCACTGAGCGATGTTACAATCCTACCTTGTGCTGCTCAGAGCAGCGTGGATACAGTTCCTCTGTGGGCCATCAGCAACAAAGGAGACATCCTATGTCGACTGGGAGTAACACTGCTGACACCTGCTGTGAGTTATATGCAAGCTGACATTTCAAGCACCTCTATGACACCTTTCATTTACCTGCTCAAAGGCACAAACCTGGGTTCTGTGACTGTGGTGTTACTTTGTTAGATCATATAGTAAACTGGCATGACCATTAATCTATTGGGGTATTTTTAGAGTCAATGAGTCCACTCATTGACTTGACAGCCATCCCTCACACCAAACATGCTTGTAGCAACAGTGGAGAGTAAAAACTCCCTTTAAACAGGAAGGAACCTCCAGCAGAACCAGGCTCAGTGTGAGCGGCCATCTGCTGAGGCCGACTGGGAGACAGAAGCAGACAGAAAGAAGCAGAGATACAAATGGCAACTGTCAACCAGCTCCACAGGTGACCCGTCGACAAAACTCACAGCCAGGCAGACGAGCTCAGAGCCAGCTCCCATGTCAGAGGATGAAGAGAGCACATCCAGCTAGTCCCAGTCAGAGAAACAGGACTACACTGAAAAACAGGCCAAGCTCCAACATCTATAAACAAAGGTGTTGATGGAAGCAGCACAGCTGATATTTCTCTCCAGGATGGAGTCACAGCCAAACAGGAACATATGAGATGAAGCTACTATGAGAAAGAGCAGAGAGAGCAGAATGTTATAGATTGGAAAAGCAAATACTGAAGAATAAAGATGGAATGAAGCAGAATAATGAAAAAGGGTCCCTATGTCCTCCAGCAGTCTAAGCCTATAGCAGCATAACTATAGAGATAGCTCAGGATAACCTGAGCCACTCTAAGCTTTATAAAGAGAAAAATTGTAATCCTAGCCTTGATTCTAGCTAGAACTACCGGCTAGCTAAATGAGAAAGATATTTCCAAAATGGATGCATTCAGAAAAATTCCATGAAGAGTAAATTTATAGAAGTTTTTAAAGAACTTATTCTAAAAAGTTAAAATTTGCTTCATCAAACCTTTCAGAGGTAACGATCTAAAACCTAAACCTGAACATTTAACACACTGATTTTTTTCATGGCAGTATGTTCCTGTTATGTTTCTCAGTGACTATGCAGCTTCCTTGTCCCTGCTGTTGAAATCCCTCCCTCCTTTAAAAAGGGCCGTTCCATCATGTCGCTGACACCTCCATGTTTCTGGCAGGGATTTTGATTGTACCTCCAACAAAGTATTTTGTAGAAGTTCTTTCTGCTGTTGCTCCTGCATGGCTTGAAGTAAACAGAATAAACAGTGATCTGTAAAATATTCACATAATGGAATTGTTTCATAATCTAACCCTTGTTGAAGCCTCTCTACATCGTTATTTATTTCTATTTCTTTGTGACACAGTTTTTTCTCCAAAGTTATTTAACTACTGTCTTCTTGTGGCTGTTGGGCACACTGGATTATCTTTGTCAGAGTAAAACACTGGAAAAAAAATCTAAAATTAGATAAGTAATTATTTCTTAAAATAAGTGTAGTATTTGTTCTTGGATTTAGGAAGAAAAAGAGAAATTTTGCCAATGGAACAAGACAATTTACATTTGTAATAAGAAAACACAATTGGATTGTCCTGTTTCAAGTGCATTTTATCTAATTATCTTATTTTAAGAGTAAAAATGCTCATTCTATTGGCAAACTATCTCATTTGCCTACTCAAATTAAGGGTAAATACACTTAATTTAAGGAAAGTTTTACTTATTTCTAGATCGCTTTTCCAGAGAAGGAGGATGAGTACAGATATTTTTAAAATGTCCCAGGATGTCCTAATTTCAACAATCCTGCATTTCTTTATGTTGATCTGTAATAAAAAAAATCTAAAATAACCATTTAAGGTTATAGCTACAATATAGTTAGGATTCAGTCTTAAGTGTTTCTTTTTTCCCCCTGTCCCTCAGGGAACGTCATGGCTTCATGTTGGGACAGACCAGCCTTTCAAGTCCATCTCTATCAGCGCTGGCAGCCAGGTCTGGGCCATCGCCAGAGACGGTTCCGCCTTCTATCGGGGTTCAGTTTCACCCCAGAACCCAGCAGGTCAGGAGAAGTTCAGAGTCTGAAAAACAGCAGCTGAGCAGCACAGACATGTTTATGTCTTTTAAATACCATAAAATATGCCTAAAAACTAAAAGTGCAGTGTCTCCATCTGCAGGCGATTGTTGGTACCACATCCCCACGCCGGCGAAGCAGAAGTTAAAGCAGGTGTCTGTTGGCAGAACATCAGTTTATGCTGTCGATGAAAATGGTAAGTCCTCTGCATGTGTGGCTAGCAGCCTGGTATTAAAGGAGCTCCTGAGTGATTTTGTTAAACTTCTCTCCTGTAGGTAACCTGTGGTACAGGCAGGGGGTGACCCCCAGGTACCCTCAGGGTTCCTCCTGGGAGCACATCTCCAACAATGTGCGTAAAGTCTCCGTAGGGCCCTTGGATCAGGTGAGCACAAACATTTTACAGACATTTATCAGGAGACCCAGAAAAGAGAAACGCAGTGCATCGTGTTGGCATTTAGACTTCATTTTTTAAAATCCTTAAATAAAAGTGTTCCTCTTGTTGTAGAGATTGAGAGATTTTGTTATTAAAAGACTGATACCGATTACCGTATTATTGAGAACTGACCCCCCCGATATGTGCTTCTGTTTTTTTTGAGGGGTGGAATCTTGATGCTAATGTTGCTTTTCCTTCCTCTGTTTACATGATAGAAACTGACAAGATGATATGTAATGCTAAAAGGCTTACCTTAAATAAAAAAGTAATTATGCACAAGATCTTTGACCCCCCTGATACCCTGCCTTCTTACATGTATTCTAGTCAGACCTGTAATTCTTTGATAACCTTTTTTAATAAAAAAATTTGTTCCATTCACCAGCAATTAGATATGACCGCCTTGCCTCCCCCTTCCCATCCGCCCCTCCCCCATAGCCAGTCATTCTCCTCCTTCCTACCGCCCACTTCCTGTGAAATTTCTGACCTTATTCAAAAATCCAAGTCCTCTACCTGTTCTCTTGACCCCCTCCCCACAGCTCTGGTCAAAACCTGTCTTATCTCCATCCTCCCCTTCATTACTTCCATTATTCATTCCTAACTCTCCTCTGGTATTGTTCCTTCACTTTTCAAAACTGCATCTGTCTCCCCGATTCTGAAAAAACCTGGTTCTGATCCCTCTAACTTTAATAATCTTTGTCCCATTTCTAATCTTCCCTTTATCTCTAAAATACTTGAAAAAATTGTGTCTGCTCAACTCCACACCTTTCTTACCCTCAACCGTCTTTACGAGCCTTTCCAGTCTGGTTTTCGCCCCTAATAAAAACCACAAACGATCTCCTCATAGCTGCTGACTCTGGACTCCTCTCCATCCTCATCCTTCTCGATCTTAGTGCGGCCTTTGATAACATTTCTCATCCCATTTTCCTCAATAGATTATCCTCTCTTGGCATCTCTCACACCCCTCTTGACTGGTTCCGCTCATATCTCTCCGACCGCACTCAGTTTATTCAGCTAAAATCTTTCACATCGCACCTTTCCCCTGTCACTACTGGTGTCCCTCAAGGCTCAGTTCTTGGCCCCCTCCTCTTCATCACCTACCTTCTTCCCCTTGGCAGTATTTTTCAGAAATTCAACATTCACTTTCACTGTTATGCGGATGACACCCAGCTTTATTTATCCAGTAAACCCACTTCCTCTCTCCCCCCCTTGTCCCTTACTAACTGCCTACTTGAAATTAAAGACTGGTTCACCTCAAACTTCCTTAAACT